GGGGGGGGGGGTCTGAATTGAGCGATCAAATATTAGACCCGGACGTCCCAACACTTGCTTCGCAAGACAAACTTAAGGTATCCCCTAAAGGGCTACCTTTCGTGATCATTCAACTCTTCCCCTCAGAAATCAGCTGACGTTTTATTGCAGGCCAGGGGCCCTCAGTTGTGTGCTGTGTCTGGGAGGTCGGTCTGGCTGAAGCATTGGTGGCGGCGGCATTGGTGGTTGCACAGGCTGCACATAGGGCTGCGCATAGGCCCCTGCCAATAACATAGCATGCAAATTAGGAGAGGGGTTGTTCACCAATAATCCAGCTTCCATTGACCACATTGACGTGTCTGTGAAGGAATCTATATATACCTTATACCTTAGAGATCCTTAGAGGAATCCAAGTGCCCATCCTTGATATGAGACAGGATGGGGCACAGGTTGTCCAATTGGAAACGGGCTCGGGCCCTTGGCATACCTAGGCAATTGACAGGTTCCAAGACTCAGCGCAAAAGGAGCATTTCAACTTGCTTCCAGGCTGCACTTGCACTATTCCACCATTCTGCCATGGGTACATTATGATGCCTCTCAACTGCCAATGCTCCAGACCAAGCAAATTGTGCAAACAAACAATCACAGCTGCAGCCTACTCTGCTTGCACCAAGGTCGTCATTGGCGGGCCGACATAAAGCTACAAAATGTGACTAGGCAACTAAGACGCTAATTATTACTCAACCTTGCGCTGATGGGCACGGCGCGCTCACTGCTTCAAGTCCACTTCGCAAATGCAAAGAGTGATACGGTATCTGAATGTATCTGAGATATGAATTACATTGAATTACCATCACATTGCCATGAGACACCATGAGACCATGTTTGGTTCGATGCTCTCTCTCTCTCACTCTCATTTTTGCTCAGCTTCGGAGCTTCGATCACATGGCAGGGGTGAAATGATGCGATCTGCCGTGAAACCGTCGAAATGTAGAGGATGCGATTGATACTGCATGATGCTCCATGATGCTCCTTTAGGATGTTGCGACTCGTTCACCTTCTTCAGGATCTTCCTCTTCTCGTTCGTCCGGAGCGTCTTCTCCTTCCACTTCATCTTCCAATTCACCATTTCGGATGCTGATGATCTTTCGGGTGACGCTCCGCAGCTCTTCCAAGACTTCGAGCATATCTTTGGAATCAGCCAAATCCAGCAGCACCGTATCTATCGAGTGCTCCAAGAGTTCCAGCCAAGCTTCACTTGCTTGGTCAGGATCTTGTTTGATGATGGCGGTGGCGCGCTGCGCCACTCGGATCATCACCGAATACCCGCAAATACCAGGTGGGGACTCGGACCTCGGGATGTCAACTATGCTGTCTGACATGAATACCTTACAGAACAGAAAAGGTTCTTGCCAACCATGTTAAAGCTTGGGGGGTCAGGGGGGTCCAGCATGAAAGGTTTATATAAATATGTATAATGTATAACCATAAGCATGATATAAATCATATTATAAGACGTCTGGGTGTAGTATTGCGCTGACATCAGCACTTCTGCACCTTTACCGCCGAGCTTCCATCTGTTTGTCAGCATTTGGATCAGCAAACCAGCATCTTGTTCACGGTGAACAGCGCTCTCAATAGCTGCCTGACATGCCTCCTGCAACCTCATGAGTTGCATCAGTCTGGATATGTCTGGACCCTTCGCTTTGCAATTTGCAAGTAGGCCAAAGAACGAAGCAGTACTGCAGGAGTACAGCAAACAACCAACAAACTTTTGCCAGAATGTTTGCAGCGTCTTGGCAGGGTACACGTCACACGCATCTCCGAATTTGCAAAACCTGAGGTCCACGCTGGATTTCTGCTCGTATGCTGGTCCCATAGCGCAGAAGCGGGGCCAGCTCGCTTCCTCAGCAAATCGAACATGCTGACTGGAAAATGCAGAATCGCTCTCATTCATCCCAAGCTCTGAAATATCTTTGACAAGTGCCTTCCTGTTTTACTGCGTTTTTTCTCGATGCGTTACTGGGGGGCCCAACCTTTGAAGAACAACAAATGACTCATGTTGTGTCGTCCTGTTCCACTTGAAAACTGTTTTTGGGGTGCCACTGCCACTCTTTCATTTTCACAAAATTCCAGCTTTGGCCGGGTTCTCCTTCCAAGCCCAAGAAAAATGTTAAAATGTCATCTTTTCGGCAGTGCAAGATTCCCTGCGGATGATTTCTACAAAAACTGTGGTAATTTCTGCGCAACGATTGCAAAAAGGAACTTATGAAAACTACTATTATTTTTTGGAAATATTAATGGGTTGCCATGTGTCTTGCCATGTCCTGCCAACGGAATCCCTCCTCCCACTCCTTCTCCCATTCCTTCCTTCTTCCCATTCCTCCTGCCCAAGCCCAAGCATCTCTTTTTGGAGTGCAGCTTCCAATTTCCTTCAGGCACCCTTTTGGGTTTAAGGTATCCACACGCTGGAAAAGTCTCTGAAGGAGAAATGTGCGCCTCTGTGGGCTTTAAACAAAGATAGGGAAAATACACTATTGAAAAACAATGTCAAAATCTCCAATCCACCCCCAACCCCCAAAATGGTTGCCCCCCCCGGCGAATATGAGGAACATCACATCATATACACGAACCTTACCATAAACAACACTTCTGTGTGGGATGCGGAAGGCCGGGATGGGACACCATGGCTGCAGGGAAAGTGAGGCTGTTGAAAGTTTTTGGAGCCTTGGCAATTCTTCAAGAGCCTCGCGAACAGCAGTGTTGTCCCAAAGCTGGGTTCAATGGTGAGGTTTCCTGGCAGTGAGGCATACACACACACACGTGCAGAAAGTCATGCCCAAGCATGAGCGGCATCCAAGAACGTCCTATTGAAGACTTCTTGCGAATCGCGAAACGGGCATATCGCATGATGTTGTGCTATAAGTCCAGCTTGGCAACCCAACAGCAACTAGCAACTCAATTAGGACTTGTGCTCGGCATTTTGCTGCACAAGTTTTCAGGTTCTCTTTGCTTTCCAGCCGGCGTGCAGTCAATCAAACATCTCCAATGTGCATTTGTCATGGCAGGCAGCGACACAGGAGCAAAACCACAGCAGTGTTTGGCCACAATCCATGTATATATATATATATATTTGCACATTAGATACGTATATATAATATATATATATATTTACATTAAAACACACACACACACACATATATATATACAAGCATTTCGTGTATGTCTTGGAAAACCCAAACACCGCGTATGCCCATGATGTTTTGCCAAGAAGGCCTCTTCGTATTAAAAAGCATGCCATGGCGTAATTAGATGCATGCTCATGACCGCGCATTCCCATGGCCATACTCCATGTTTCGGAACATGTGCTGCTGTCTATTCAAAGTAAGTTTTGCGGTAAACGTCTGAGTGGACACGACTCCTATCTGTGCAACTTCTAAGATCCATGTGGGGCCTAACCTAGAACTTAGGTCCGGATGTTGTTGGTTGATCCAGTCCGTCCAAACCAATCTTTTGACACACCAAAGTGCTCTCTTTTTACCAGGCAAATTGGAAGAATGGGGCGAAATCCAAAGCCATTGGTGCCTGCTAAAGCACACATGTTATTAATACGTTAAAAATCAAGCCGTTTGTCGCCATCGCCTATTCTTGTCGCATACAACATCCAGGAAACTATTCAGACGATTGCGTACTGTATTCTTCTAGCGTCTAAGCTTGATTCAATAATCTTTGATCGTGCATAAGGCTAGGCCCGTGCAAAGCATATCCGAGCAAATCTCACATCAAGATGTTTCCTACCGCGTCAAACGATATTGTTTCGTCAGCCGCAACGCAGCCATTCTCGCATCTTCCTTTTCAAGCCTCTTTGTTGAACAGTGCTTGATATCCTCACAATCCCTGTGCCTTTATTTCAGGAAGTCTCACGACGTTTACCCATTTGGCACTCACACTGGTGCCCATAAGCCATAAGGGTCTGATTGGAGTCGGTGTCTAAATATAAGCCCATGTCGGGCCTAACTGAAATCTTAGGTCGGTGAGGGGATCCTAATCTGTCCAAACCGTTTCTTAAATTAATTCTCTAAAACGTGTGAAGAAAGTTGTATAAATAACACATGCTTTGAGAAGAAAAAGGGTATGCAACCTTTTCCTGGGGATTCCTGCGTCGTCAGCTTACCTTATGCTTTACACTTGGCGCGGGCGGATTTATACATATATATATAATATATCTGACTATATATGTATATACATTGTAGTAAGCTAACTCAGGGAGAAAAGTGTGCATCAACTTCGCCCATAAGCTCCCAAGCTGAACACTGAGGCAACTGCCATCCAAAGCAGCCCCTGCCTCACCTGAGCCAGAAACAATGGCACTATTAGAGTGCGTTGAAAATAATTAGTGCCCCAACTCCAACACCTTGCTTTCATGGAACAAATTGTGCCCTGTGCCAAGATGCTAAGCAAGCGCAAAGTACAAGCAGCAGACAATCCCGATGCTTTGGCAGTTGCAACAGCCATAGGCTTGGTGGCCTTCGGCAACCAGTCTGTCCTTGAAAAGCAAACAACTGACTCAACATGACTCAACAAACATGTTTGACATTGTTTGACAAATATTGATATATAGCCATACTAGTCTGATCTAGGCAAAGTTCAACAATGGAGTATGTACAGCAAATGCAAATCTAGCGTATCACTATCACGTTGGACCCATATAGGCCCGCAAAGGGACGCTACGGTAGGGTCTTGAAAAATTGGCATAGTGCAGGGAAGAGTCAGGAGTGGGATCAAGTTTTCATTGTTCCGCATGGCCGTGCAAATGCCCTCATCCTCATCTGCGGCCATTCTGTTCACTGCGATTAGCAATGGCAATGCGGTGGCTGAGGAGTCTGAAGCTGTCGCCAACTCCAAAGCATGCAACAAAGCCAATGCCAAATTCTGGGAAACATTTCCATCAACAGGCACACATGCAGTTGCGATCGCTTCCAAAGAACAAGCAGCTGCCACAGTTCGCAAAAGCTCGTCTCCACTTTGCAGTTCGGCCAGCAGGATCGGCCACATGATGTGCAAGGGAAGCGAATCTTTCTGAGGATGGCGTTTGGCTGCGTATGGGATGAGCCGTGCTAGAAGCCGCAGCGCTGCACAGCGAACCCCCGCTTCCAGGTGTGTTGCAAACTCTAGTGCCAGTTCCACTCCGTCAAGTTCTAGCAAATGATTGGAGGTGTCGATGCCATGTCTGCAAATGGAGGCCAAAGCCGACAAACATGCACGATGTAAAGGGAAAGCCAGGGTGTCATCCAGCGGATTGCTTTGGCCCTTGAAGCGGTCAGTTCTCAGCCAGTCAACAATGGCAGTGTGGCCACCAAACTCAATGATCTCCCTAGCATGGCTGTGGGAAAACCACGCGAAATGCCCCAAAAGCAAGATCAGCAGCTCTCCGTCTTGTGCGCTGTACTTTTTTGGTCCGACTCCTTCAGCCAAGACCTCACATAGACGGCGGACCTGATCTCGTTTTGGCCCAGGCTGACGAAGAACTTCGACATCACCACCCAGCTGAGAAAGAGCATTAATGTCTTTCTGACGGATGTTGTGGCTGGAGCTTCCTCGGGGCATTGCCACCTGGGTTGATCCAATGGACATCCAAAGCTGATCTGCCGCGTCGATTCCATCGCGCAAGCCTTTCTTCTTCTGAAAACCTGCTTGCAAATGTAGCTTGTCTTCCTCATTCTGACCCATCGTGCTAGTTGGTGGATTGAACTCCGCAACAAGGTTCTCAATTCCTGAAGTCAGCAAGGTGCCAAAGTGTCCGTTCATAGTTACATACTTTCTCTGCCAGCATTGAAACATCAAGTCATGATTTACATGCCAATGCCATCCACCAAGGAAAGGAGAGCCAAGCTGGCTCCAGCCAAGCAGCCTCGCAAGCTGAACACCGACTTCACCGCGTCGACATCCAAGGAAACCTGATCGAACTGTTTCCGACATGATATTCTCAATTGATTGATATTGTGCAATCCTACAGTCCTACAGGTTCCAAAAGCAGAAATCACGCACATCATTTTCGGCTTTGGTCTCCCGCGACCTGCATGGTGACCTGATCTGGGCCTGTGGACCATACGGTTGGAGGCAAAAGTGCAGAAATGTCACCACAAAGGCGTGAGATCTTGGCCACTGCTCTGGGGCAGTGCTTCTCCAAGGCTCGCGTTCCTTCATGAAGGATTTGAGATGAATCAGGGTGAGCGGCCATGGCCTCAAGAATTGCGCCAGCACCTCCATAAAGGGCGAATGACTCTGCAGAAGGGCAAATGAAACATTAAAAAAATATACCGCGTAAAGTTTGAAACATATGAACTTCTCTTGTTGCTCCAGCATGGTCCACGAGGGCCCAAAGTGCCTCCTCCCGACCGACATGCTTGCAGCGCCAGCTCATCTTTGGATAAAGTGAAGAGAGCTCTGACAGCTGTCACTTGCAATTGTCTGTCAGATCTGTGACGCGCCATAGCATCAACTATCGTTTGAATGCCGCGACGCTCCAGCGACAAAAAGGAAGATCCGAGACGGGAAATAATCAGGATCGCTTGGCAAAGCAAGTCAGCCTGGGCTGTGTGAGAATGTGAGAGTGGTGTACTCATCAAGCGCTCACTTGTGAGCCACTTGTTCCACAATTTGTCTGAGCACCAGCGTGTGCCCAGCCAACCTACCTTGCTTATTTTTCAGGTTCCCCAGCTAGTGTGAAGTCCTTTCTGTCATGATTGCTCCAAAAAGTTCACAAGTTATCTGCATCCAATGTACCTAACATTGCCGCACCTTTCCTCTATCATCCATCCCATCCTTCCGCCCATCCATCATTCAGTTATCTAAATCATGTCCTCCGCAGTCCTAACAACAACTGATTTTGTGAGAGTACGCATGATGCAAAAAGTGATGATGTCTAAGTACTTCTTGCAAATAGCTGGCAATGATACCGACTACCACGCTGAATGGATCCACCGAAGCACTCGTCCAGTATGCTTGCGAATACCAGTCTGAAGAAGCTTAAAGACAGCTGTGGCATAGCCGTTGTTGTACAGCAGCTCTCCCACCGACGCAAGCAGCATGCAGCCTTCTACTTGAATATCTGCATCTTGTTGGAAAAGCCTCATGGAAGTCAGAACTCGCGACAGGCCATGGAAAGTCCAGACCTGCGCTGCAGCAGCTGTTTGGGACAACAAAAGGCCAAGCCTGAATGCCAGGAGCTCTAACATAATCATATAAAATTTGACGTCACTATTGACGTCCCCTCGATTTGTGTGACTTTGTTTACATATTCTCTATAGTCTATGTGGCAATCCCGCACAGACAAGTGAATGGAGGGTTGTTCAGACGAGGACGGGAGCATGCTCCTAGAATGGGGCTCTTCTGGTCTAACGAAGGTTATGTGCAAACGAGGCGAAAGGCATACGCTGTGCTGCTTAAATCAGGAGCAGGCGACAAAACCACTATGGCATAATTAGACCTGGAAGGGAAATTGACTCACGCTCCGAGAAGAAACAGCACACAATCCTATGTGACTGTCCTTCTCAATTTCTTCTCAAAGAAATCGATCTGAAAAATCTGAAAAGGAACTTTGTCACAGCACAGTTCTTTGCTGATGGTGCTACAGTACTGCAGCATGTTGTCGCGGACGAGGCAGGGGAACGAGGAAAACTGATGGGATTTGGATTGTGCGTCCGGTCTCGGGTCGCGAGTGTATACTAGTAGCGTCCTTGCTCCGTTCGTAGCGATGCCCTTTGCTCCTAGCAGCTTCTTGTTCCTAGTAGCGATGCCAGGAGCCCCTAGTAGCGTCCTTAAACTTTGAAACACTGGTTGGAGTTGCGTTTGTGGCTCTTGCATGTGGCTATTCACGCGCGCGCGCACACAGTCACTGGTATGTATACAAATCTGTTGGTCCGTACATTCATCTCTCCATCCTTTTAGTGTTCCAGTTTGATGTTTGTGGAACCTCCCGGATGACATTTTACCAACTACAGTATTGTTTAAATGTGTTCAATATTGTTTAGCTACTGGTAATGTCTCACGCACGCATGATGCACTTGCACGGGATCTTGCAAAGTTTCTTGCCACTGTGTTCACCATAGGCGTCTTCATGTGCATGGGTTGCTGGTTATTTCAGCAAGAACATTTTTGCTTGGCTACATGCCTCATCCAGTTGCTTGCCCAATGTCACCACACGCGCTCCCATCATCGTTGTCTCCCTGGCTCGAACGTATACACGACGTAGGACTTGTCCACCCAACCGCTGCATCTCTTGGTCAGCGGGGAAATTGTCCAACGACCTGCACGGCAAATCATCAAAACAACCAATATTTATCAATATTTCACATACTGTCTGCAGCCCAAGCCACAGCATCAGGTCAGGAGCTACGGACTGCAGCAAAATAGCATCTACGGAGAGAATGTCATGGGCCGTCAGGTTGCGGATTAAATTCACCCCACGGAAAACAACCTTATCAAAGCTGGATATGCAAACGTGAATTAGCCATGGCCGGGTTGGAACTGTTTCAGCAAACAATAGTAACTATAAAGCATTGTATCACAGCTGGCTCAGATGAAGCTGAAGCATGCTGAAGCAAACAAGTCAATGTTCACCAAATTCACCAAACTGGAGAGGCATACTGCACCGAGCTGCTTCTCGGCTGGCAGTGAAATGCCTCATCATCACCAAAGTCCGTTCCTCAGCTTCACCAAAATGGCCATTCAAGGATTCAACGTGGCCAGGGTTTCATGAGGTTTCATGATTATTTTGTCCACCCATAGGCTTCCATAGTTTTGCCCAGGTTCCACCGCATGATGGAGCCGAAGTCTCTGACAGTGCTCTACATCCTGCTCGGTCTTCTCTATCATTGCCTGCCAGCCAAGGGATGCTTTCATGTGAGCCCCTAGCTTTGTGTGCTGCAGCAGCATGTCTGCAGGATTTTCTGATTTTCCTTTATATAGGTGGAAAAATGCCCGTGCCTCCAAGCAAGCCACCAGGGTGTGCATCTGTCCGAAGGAACTGTCAGCCGTGTCCAAGATTTCCTTTGCCGTCAGGCTCACCAGTTGCGACTTCTGCACGGCAACGCTTCCTCCGGGCCGCGAATAGAGTGATAGAATCTCAGTTCTCATGGTGGAGAGGTTCTCCAAAGCTACTTCATCCAAATCGCAGGGAACACCCTTGACCTCAGCTGTTGGGAGAAAAAACAACTCACTGCTTACAAAACCCTAATTGCGATGTATTATGATAATCTTAAATTGTTACCTTCTGTCTCTCCCTCCAAAAAATATATATATATATTATATGTGTGTGTAGTCCGCGTGACCAATGTATACCAATGTCCAACCAAAAGGATCCAAGTGCCTGCTCCTTCACTGTGTCAACAGCTATGCTTGGCATGAAGCATCAAGAAACACACTTAGGATTCTGCTCTTCTGGGTTTCATGAGCTCCCGGATGCTTTCAGCCATGCGGGAAGGATCGATAATATCTTGGCTTGCCACAAGTGGTGCTCTCACCACAACCGCTTGCTTTGAGAGTTTGGAGAACATCGGGAAAACGTGTGGATGCTTGCGGATCGGATGTTTGTTGTCGCCAAGTATGTGAATTAAGGTCCTCAGAAGTTGATCTGGTGGCAAATCCCGCGCATGGAATGCAGAAGTTTGTTGATACAAACCATCGAACGTGTCGCTTGACTTTGTCAATGACGGTTCGGATGTTGATTTGTTGAGACTGGTTTTGTCTCGCATCGTCTGCGAAAATGTTTCCTGTGTATCTTTCAGTGTTGTGAGAGCCCGTGTTAGGGCTATGCTTCTTTTCGTGCCAGTTGGGGACATTGGCTCTGCCTGCTCTGGCTCATCCCACAAAGACTTAGTGGTTTTGGTTCTTTCAGGCCGGCGCTTGCTCACAAGCTCTGGGAGGGGGGCCGAATCCATTCTGGTTGGCATGCGTGGCCCTCGCACGACATCGATCAAGCCCTGATGAAGCAAAGCGATTTGGAGCATCATGGAGTTCCGGCGCAAGTGGCGCCGCTTGGGCACGACATTCTTGAGCTTGAAGGCACCACACATGACTTGCTCGGATGAGATGCCCAGCAAATTCGCAATCTCTTCAGCCACCATGCGGCGAAGTGATTCCAAGTGAGACTCACCATAGCTGATTTCAAAAGGCTCGATGCAAAATTCAATATCCGCCACAGCTGCCAAAACCAGGTCTCCCAGCTGCCGGCCTAAGGATTGAAGGATTTGTGGTGCAGAATGAACTGCAAAGGAAGTTGCCGCATCTACAGTAGCAGCTTCCGGCTGAATGTGCAGAAGTCTCCACGTGTTGGGTTTGTTTCTGGCCCTCTTGGCCCAAATATCGATTTCTTGTGCAATCCCATCTTCATGGCGACCGTGCAGCTTTGCAGGATCGAAAGTTGGACCTCCAATCTGTACCAGGGATAGGCGACATGTCTCACAGTCTATGCTTACTGCACGTGACTCCTCTGGATCCTGGACAAGAGATGGCAATGAGGTGCCTTCGCCGTTCAGGGAGATAGACACTCGCAAAGAGACTCCTGCTATCACACCTGCAACACATTCCGGCCAATCTGTCTGACCTGGAGCATTCTTCACCACATTGCTTGCCTCCTCTCTCAACCGCACTGTGGCACATGGCACGCGAAGCAGGAAGGTGCCCCCGCCACGGGACATCAACTTCTTGACTGCTTCTTTCACTGACTTGAAGTTGGGGTTCCTGTTGTCGGTCCTCTCCTCAACTTCTGCCACCGATAGTGGTGGAGGGGGGCGCACTTCGAGAGCAGCTGGCACACAAAGCCTCAGGTCATTGAAAGCTTCTAAGCGCCATGCTGCCACACCATCGCTTCTGCCAGAGCCAAGGTAGTAGACTTCTCCTTTGGAGTCCTTTGCCTTGTGGACTCTTTCCGCATCAAGTGGATAGCCGCTTGGGCCGCTTTGGCTCCAACCCTTCGAGTCTGAGGCTGAAAAGCTTTCATCTCCCTCTCGACACCGTCGGCCTTCAGGAAGGGTTTTCGGACAAGTTGGTCACAACATGGACACTAAATCAAAGGATCCCAAGATTTCTCACCGTTCGTTAGGCATTCTTGCATGTTCTTGCTAAACGGCACCAACAGTATTGGTGCCTTCACTTCTAAATTCTAAATCGTTGCCAACATCGATACCGTACAACAAGTGCAGCAACCAGCAGTGGGCATTCAAATCGCCCTTTAGACTCAGTAAGGGAATGGCGGCAAAGGACTGACGTCTTTGTTTCAGATGGTTTCAGGATTGCTTTGAGTTGGCATGCTGAGTTGATGAACATTTATGCGGGTCCCAGGTGCCTAGGGGAGCAAAGGCCGAGGGCGGCAGCTCCGCTGCGTGGCATCCTCCCAAACTGAGCATTCTAGCGCCAAAACGACTGTGTAACTCTCCATTGGAAGAACTCGAAACGTGTTGTTAACCAACACCTGATTCAACGAAGTTTTCGCTTTTGATTGTGACAGGTCTGACGGGTGTTAACCAAATTCCTGAAATTCATGACTGCTCATCACTGACTAAATTCACAGCGTCCGCACAGGCTCCCCGTTTCACAAAATCTTGGCTTTTGCAATCTACAGTAATGCCGTTTTTGGGCAGGAAAACTTCTGAATCTGATCTGTGTGTGGCCTATAGCTATATAGAAGCCGCATCCCATCACTGTATGAAAAAAAACAAATTGCCCAAATAGCAATCTGGATCAATTTGGTGTATCTGATCCGTGCCCGCATGAAACCCAATTTGCTCAAGAAATGTAGGATTGCAACATCCAGTGTTGGAAACTGGCACACACGTATGGCCACAAAACCAAAAATAACGCCTGCACCGACCCCAAATAGTAATTAATAAATATTTATCAAATTTTATCAAAATATAGTTGTGGGCAGCACCATAGCAGCAGCACCCTGCGTCAGCACCAGTACCCAAGCTCCAAAGCACACACAGGCACCTCCTCCCATACTTGAAATAAAAACCCCAATAGCTTGGCGCAATCTGGAGAACAACAAAGCTCTGAATGATTAAGAATGGGCTTCTATAGTTCTCATGTGAGAGCGACAAAAGCAACAGTGCAACGGCGCCTAAGGAGCGCCAAACCCACATTGGCACCCTACCCTCTCTGGGCCCACTGTGCCCTACTTCGAGCCGCCAAGGCGATGGGCATCAGCCTTTGAGTGAGTAGTAGTAGTAGTAGTACTACTACTACTACTACTAGTGTCCTTGCTCCTAGTAGCGATGCCAGGAGCCCTAGTAGCTTCTGGCAACAACAGGAAAATGAGACCATTTAGGTTCAAAGGAATGGGAGCGCAGCAGCACGATCCTTTTCTTGAAAGTTTGTCTTGATTTCGCACTCGGAAGGGTTGCGGAAGCACTAGCAGCTGCAAGACTGCGCATAGAAAAAGGACGAAACGGAAAGATGCCTCAGTGCCATGTGACCATCGACTATCTCAAAGGCGCCCCCCCAAAAAAAACATATATAGGTAGTGCTCAAGCCAGACTGCAGCTCTAGGAGAGCACTCCCGCGGGTATAATTCACCTACAAGGACAGGGTCCTTTGAAGCTTGTTGCTTTAAAATCTCATGCACAAAACCGGGCTGACATGTGGAACGACTGCCAGCCAAGAACTGCACGATCTTCACAAAGAGAAGCACTTCCTTCCATAGCGAGCCTTTGACGGAATGTATTTTTGACTGAGTGCACTTCCAAGAAGATAACTTGTGACTCTGACGGAGACTCACCGAGGTGACGATGACGACTCACATGCTTCTCGCAAGAGAATGTCAAGGGCCGGCATCAAATTCCGTGACGAGCATAGCAAGATTCAAGGGTCTATCTACCTACCAAATCTGCAAAGCAAAAGCAGTCTAAGCAATCAAAATCCATGTCCAGACCCGGCCCTGACTCTCCACACTATATACAAGACGCATCAAGACAATGAATTCTGACATGCAAATGGGCAGTGGTCTCAAAGCATCCACATACCACAAACCTTGGTTGTCCAATCCTTGTGTCCTGACTTGTGACGGTTGACCCATTTTTGCCCTGTCCCGGAAGACCATGCTCAATGTCAAAGTGCCAGCAGGCTGGCTGCTGCGTTCTTTGCACAAAAATCCCCTCAAACCATCACTTCCTGGCTGCCAGTCTCAGCGCCACTTTCAGGACTTGATGCATCCGAACTTACCTGGGCAATGTTGGTAAGACTTCATGCTTCTGACGGCACGGGTGGTGACCCAAGCCCCATAACACAAAAACGCCCTCGCATCTCTCAACAAGTTTGTCAATTCACAATGTTGCGTTTAAAAACTGAGGAATGACCTACAGCCCCATGACGGGGGAAGTAAAAGGCGACATGAAATATATCATGAAATGATTGGAAGTGAATGGTGTAGTTGGCGAGTGTGGACGTGTTTGGGCATTCGTGTTCACATGTTGTCCTCGATGTGCTTGAATCATGACACTCTTAGGTTCTTACCTCGGGGACATGGTATGTCTCTACCACGCCTGACGACATTCTGTTTCAAAGTAGGTGATCCAACTCGTGAAGCGAGTGGAATACTCAAAGCTTCCGCTGCCCTAAAAGTTGTTTTAGGTATTATATAATTGATGGTAATTGTAGTTTACTGAAACAAGAAGCTACTAGTAACGTATAAATAGTTTGTCACCGTGAGTGAGCAACTGATTTCAGTCTGCACGTTAGACCTTGTGCGCCAGAACTCCGGTGTTGCGTTTGGAGCGCTGCTCCCAGACAGTGATCGACCAAAAGGGAGAATTCAAGGCGGCGTCTGTCGTAAGAAATCGAGCGGTCAAGCAGCGCTCTGCCAAATGCTAAGCACCAACTCCGAGCAAGCTGTCTGTCGCTGACTAGGATTCTCCGACATACTGATACTCTGATACTCTTACGATCTGTGTCAATGGCTGTTGAATGCTCTCGATACACGATCCCATCCTCAAAGACTGACACTGCCAAGGTGCCATAGCGGACGCAAGGTCGCTGGAAGAACTGATCATTTGAGGCGGCATTGGCAGATCCAGCAGTGAAACCTCCACTTTCACAGAGCTACCAATACTGTCGGCCGGAGAGACGGTATAGCCGGTATTGCTAAAATCTTCAGGAAATCAAAACTGGAATCAACAGGTTCAACTGTGAATCAACCCATATCCAAACCGGCACGTGGAGTTCGTCTTAGCCCGAAAGGCACCTGGCAAACAGGACATCTGGCAGAGCACCCTGTGAGCCACTTGCGAGCCTCAGTACTTCTGTGTGCTCTGACGGCTACGAGTTGAACATGTTGAAAAGCCCCCAACTCCCCCTTTTTGAGCTGAGGGATCTGCACATTCAAGATGAAAGGCGTGGCCACAAGGAAGCTGTGGCACCTTTTCATCGAGCTCCAGCAGGCAAACCTGAGGCTTAAGGCGGTGCACAAATCTAGGGGGCGATGTATATATATATATATACAGTACACAGCTGGTCTTTTCATGATTTGCTAAAATGATTTGCGTGATGCAACCGCCCGGTGACTTCGGCCTGCTCCAATGAACTTAGTAAGTAGAGGATAGTAGTGGCACCTTTTACTCCCTGCCAGCCTGACAGAACTTGGAGCTCAAATCGCTGGCAGGCACAAGTGGCAAATCCTGCAGCTTGGGCTCTCCATTCAAGAATTCAGTGTCACTGGCCTAGTCTCAGCTCCGACTTGTCTACGGTTCTTGAGGTGTGTCTGTGTGTGTGTGTCTTGCAATCTTGTGACACCCTTTGCATAGGCATAGCTGAATAGCACTCAACAAAGAGAGAGAGAGAGAGAGAGGGAGGGAGGGAGGGGGAGGGGGAGCGCAAGTGCTCGCGTCGTGGTCACGTCCATTCAAGGTGTTTCATACCAAGCTCTGCTCTGCTGGCATTGTGCAGTTCCTGCAGGGAAGCTTCCGGGAGTGTGTTCTTCTTGGGGAGGCCCTCGTCCAGTAAGCAAAGCCTTGGTCAAGACGGCCTTGACAGTACAATCCTTAAGAAACATTGCTGAGGTGGGCACAGTTCATAATCTTCGGGAGTTACCTGACAGCACAAAATCAATAAGTATATTGTAATCCACTGTGTCAGTCGTGACGTGTGTAGAGTTGGATACGAGCATGCTACTTCATGTTTTCTGCAAAGAAAGGATGCCTCGCGATACTGAAGTTTCATAATTTCTCGGCGGATCTGACCAGCCTGCTCATCACTCCAAAATAGAAGTGCTCTATGATTCTTCATTCAATGTCATTCTCCAATCGCCAGTTCCAGGCTGAGCTTTGCGCTGGCATGTGCAGAGAACAGGTCACCCCCGAGAGTGAGCCTGATACTTGCAACATGAAGCAACGCGAACAAACGGTGAGGAAGATCAAGCCAGACCAAATGCCAGAGCCTCCATGACGACTGCCAAGCCTCAGGTCCAGAAGGTCTCCACATGTAGCTAGCAGCACTGCTAGCAACTACCGTAAAACCAAAGAAACTTGAAGAACCCTTGGTTTTATGTTCTTGAGTTTCTATATCGTGAGTTCTTAAGGGCCTACATCTTACAAACTCTCCTTGACCTTTTCTGAGGTTTCAGTTCTGCCCGAATCAAGCTCGGGTCACTTGTAGCAAAATGCTGACAAGAAGCTCCCCTCTTGTACCTGTGCGGCCAGGTGGGACTTGGGACAATGGTGAGGTATGGTGAGGTTGATGGACCAACACAGCTACACCTGCAAGCACCATTCAAAACACAACAAAACCCCACTACCTACCAATGAGCGCAATCTCTTTTGAGCCTTTTTGAGGCCTGGATTTTACGCCCACTTTTCTTGGGAGGTGTTAATGCAATGGTCAGTGGACGGTTCTTGACTGACATGCTGAACAACATACAGTAACCCGCTTTTAATAGCAATTCCAGGCGGTGGTTTTCACGTACGCAACTGGTGCTCGTGTATAATGTTGTATGGTTGTATGTTGTGCATGCCCCTTTCCTAAACAGCAGCCTTCTTGTGTATGGGGTCACACTGTTCCAAATGTATGTCTGTAGCGTAGTAACTTGTAGCCCCCTGGGGCGGGCAATGGTCAAAGTGTGCAAGTGCAAAGTGGTCTAGCGCGGATCTAGTGTACTCCTTCACCAGCGCCTTGGGCCACCAAACGGAAGAGCACACGTGGCCATACGCCGGCTTGGCTTGGCTTTGGAAAAGGCTGCTCTCTGGGTGATCCGTGAACTGCTCTCTACAAATTAGCGAGCCGTGAACTACCACGTACTCATGCTCCCCACGTAGGGACCCTATCTGCAGCAGCGGAGTAGAGCGCTAGCAGCCCTAGTGCAATGTTGCCTTTTGCTGGCGCAACGAGGTAGCATTTTCAATTTCAGCACCGTATATCGTATAATTGAAAGCGGTGGCCAAGGGATTTCTGAATCCATCAATACGTTCCTCACCAATACCAAAGACCTGGTATGACCTGGTAGTGTTTCGCCTCTCTGGCAAATAATATCTTGCTCCATGTCGTTTTGCCTTTGATTGAGTCAGCCAGCATATGTGGATACCAGGTGGCTAGCACATGTGGTTAACGGTGGAGACCTTGTTTGTCTCGAGTGTCCGAGACCAGCTTTAAGTTTTACATGGGCTTACTTACTGCGTTCTTTAAAACAATACTGCTTCATGATTCACAACGCCCACCATATCAAATGTCCAAAGCCTTCCGGTGTATGTTGCAAAAAAAACTTTCCTTCGAAAAGAATCCCTTCACGAGAGTAGTCGACGAGTCGACTGTTTATTCAAGTCTTTACCTGAAGTATCTCTTAACATCTCTGAACAAGCGTCTAATTATGTCTACATGGAAAACCACGACCACCCTTGATTGTTCTCAACCATCTTTCTTCAACTTTTGCCGCTCTTTGAAGTGGAATGTCGACACCAAAAACAAATCCTTCCAAGTAGCTGGAAGCTACTAGGTAGAGGCCATCACTATTAGGTTGGAGGCCATCGCTACTTGTTACTACTGCTACGAGTAGTAACTAGATGTGTTCGCACTGCCATGTTGAGTTTGCCCTTTCATTTTGGAAGCACGCCTTCCAACTTCAAGCATGTTCCAGTGCCCGCTCGACGTTCAAACACTGGACGTTCTGACTACCAAGAATGCGTATCTACATCAAACAAAAGAATCCAGACCACCATATCTTTCCTGGAAAGACTTGCCTTAGAACGAAAAAGACTGAAGGTAGGACATTTCCGCAAGGTGCTTTTGTGGGTTCTATCCCACAATTCTCTTTGGATGAATTGCAGGATCTCAGAGAACTCAGGGTGGCCGGTTGGTCGAAACAATTGTCGACATGGGACTCTCTTTAGTCCGCTTTGTGTTTACTGCCCTTCATTGCCCGTCTTTCTTGTGCAAATTTGCTGCTGATGTGCCCAGTGCGTCCGCAGTGGCGTTTCGCCCAATATCACTGGAGGATCGTGAGCGGGGAAGCGACGGAGATAGAACAGCTCCTTTATTCATTGTAAGAGTTCTATCCTTTATCCTGACCACAATCTCTCCCTCCCAAAAGAAACACTTTTTTCTTAAAACGTCCCATCCGAAATGAGTCTTTTCTTTTGCGAGGGCATTGCCCTGCGTAATCATAAGCCACTGTCTGTGCACTTTTGCATCACAAAATGCTGAGTTGGGTTGCCTGCAGTTTAAGAATACAAGCCGCAAGCCCATGAAATTTGATGCTGCAAACAAGTCCCTAATAATTTAGGAAAATGACCCGTCACTGGCATAGTAGCAAGAAGCTTCTAGTAACAAGGGCATCGCTACCAGGAGCAAGGACGCTACAAGAAGCCCAATGGCTGGACGGATGGCCTTGAGATTTGCTGCGGCGTTTGCGACTGCACCAGGCCTCGGTCTAGCCAAGCCTTCAGGCGGCATAGGATGCCACGAGAAGCGGAATTGGAAACATCCAAATTTTCAAAAATGGAATGGAAAACGCTGGATAAGGATGGAGAAGGCACAATATACCGCATAGAGGGTCAGTGCAAGGTTGGTAAGTATGCAGCTTGGTCATGGTCCTGGCAGCTCCAGCAATTTCAAAACAAGTGCACCACAAACTTCCAATACCGCTCCTCGATCTCCACATGACCTCTGTTCGAGATAGATCCTGTTGCCTGAGACAAAGCCAGCAAGAACCCGGCACAGCGAAGCCAACATGTTGCTCTACACTGGGCAAAAAGTTGCAAAACTACCGAGGACACAGCAGTTGGGCTATTGCTTTCTGGCTTGCTATCGCAGCCTCACCCCAACATGTCAGACAACGTCAAACAAAATGCTAAAAAGCGACAAAAAAGTGAGATTTGCTGATTTGCACGGCAATGTCCATAATGAGGATGATGCAGCCCATCTTCCGCGCAAGCTCCTGCCAGGACTGGGGTGGGTCGTTGAAAAGCCTCTGCTTGGTTGACTGGGCTTGCTTACATTCATTCAACTGTAGCTGATTCATGCTAATTCAAGTTGCAGAATCGAGATGGCTCCTCAAGAAGAACTACTGGGCAGCTTCGTAAAAAGAAGGGTTCACCAGTTCGGTTTCGGTAGGGAAAAGACCGACAGTGCCTGCGAATAACAACATGTTGAAGTTGTTGAGCCCAAGATGTGGTTCACCAGTGGTGCAGTTCAACAAATCCATTCTTCATTACCACTGGTGAACCCTTCGTTGAGCCCAAATGCCAGCATTAAGATTGGCACCGACTGACACAGCTGAGTGCTGACGGATGCTGCTCTCCACATGGCTTAACCTATGACTTGAACTCACACACTCATCTTGATTCGTGGGCAAGTCATGAGGGTCGGCAAGAGGACATCTTGATTTTCATGTGCACAATGCAAAGTCTGTTTGTCCTAACTCTCTACCGCCACGAAAATACTGCCTTTTGGCAGCTGGGGGAGGCATTACTCATGACAGCACTCATTACCATCTTCTCCATCTTTCCCTCTGCTGCGACTTCTACTTCGAGCCTCACTTCTGCCGTCGCAGCCACCAATGGGCTTCAGGCTGGGGCTTGTGCTGCCCATGTTGCCTTTGCCAACACCCATTCCGCCCATCCCGCCGCTGCACATGTTGCCTCCCATTGGAGGGCAACCTCCACAGCACCCTCCGCAACAACCCCCACATCCGCAGCCTGGGCAGCCACAACCACAGCCCCCACAGCCGGCGCAGCCGCAGCCGCAGCCACAGCCCCCGCAGCACCCGCCAGGGCAGCAGCCCCCACAAGGACAGCCGGAACAGCCTCCTGGGCAGCACCCACCAGGGCAGCAGCCTCCAGGACAACATCCTGCAGGACATCCTCCGCAACCAGGACATCCACACCCAGAGCAGCCTCCAGGACTGCCCGGACAGCCGGGACAACCTGAAGGGCAACCGCCGGGGCATCCACCCGGGCAATTGCCGCCGCAGTTGCCAGGGCAGTTTCCAGGACATCCGCAGCCTCCACCACACCCTCCACACCCAGAGCAGCCTGCTGGGCAGCCGCCAGGGCAGCCTGCAGGGCAACCGCCAGGGCAGCCTGCAGGGCAGCCGCCAGGGCAGCCGCCAGGGCAGCCGCCAGCACAGCCGCCAGCACAGCCCCCAGGGCAGCCACCAGAGCAGCCAGGGCACCCACCAGAGCAGTTGCCAGGACAACCGCAGCCACAGCCGCAACCGCACCCGCCGCAGCAACCGCAGCCGCCGCAGCCCCCACAACCACAGCCCCCACAACCGCTGCAGCCGCCGCAGCCTCCACAGCCGCAGCCGGTTTTGTCCATGCTACCGCCACAGCCCATGTTGCCCATGTTGCCCATCATGGCATTCTGCATCATGCTCGCAGCCATCATGCCTTCAAAGCTTGCAAACTTGCTATGACAGAATTGCTTTCGAAAGTCAGCACGCTCACTACACAGGTGTGCCACAGAGCCTTGCATCATGTTCTGCATCATCATCATGCCGGGCATCATGCCCATTCCACCGCCTTCCTCTTCGTCTCCAGTGCCTCCTCCTCCTCCGCCTCCTCCTCCACCTCCACCACCAGAGGCCTATCAACATGGCTAAAATGTTACCGCCTCCTTCATTTCAGAGGCTTGTTGCACTTGACTTACTATTGGAGTTGAATTGGAAAACACTTCCGACTCCAGCCTCTCTTCTTTGCCTGAACATTGCCGCCAGCGTCTCCGCTTCCTTCAAACAAGTTTCATGCGGCCACTCGAGCATACTCGAGCCACCACCTCTTTGCTCAAAGAGTTTAAAAAATTTACCCGTGCAAAAAAACAGTACTTGCAGCCGGGAAGCTACTTGGCTTTGGAGCTTGATCTCGTCCCAGGACTGGTCTCTTTTTTCAATTACCTGGTCTTGTTGGAGGGAGGGGTTCTGCCATGGGCCGTAGACTACCCAGCTACTGGCTTGCTGTTACTAACACGCACTGTGAAGAACCGGCAAAAACCTGACAGTGACGCACCTTGCATTCTTCTATGAAGGCGTCAATTAACCTCTTGTGCTTCTCCTTGCCAATCACATTGCCATCGATGTCGACTTTCAAAACATCCTTCAGCTCTATGAAGGACTCGCGGTCCTGGTCGGATGACTGCCGTCAACCGCGCATATTGCGATGCTTCTGTATCCACATGCCCCCCAAAAAAAAAAACACCTCGCCTGCCCTCCAATTCTTTTATCAACTATTTTTCCTTCATAGTGGCCCGTGTCATTCTCATCTATCTCCTGCTTGATGGGTACTCTGTACCTCAAGCGAGAGCTGACACATTGGTAATTCTTCAAAACCACTTAGTATGTCTGTGCGCTCTTCCATTCCACCTTCAGCAACTAGGCATCGGACGAGACAGCAACCCAGCTCCCCAATTTGATGCCTTTGGTCATCAGCCTCCGCTGGCCTTTCCAATCGTGAAAACATCTCGTTCCTCAAGGGCGGGGGACCCAGGCCTTTGCCGATGACTCGGGTGGCCCCAGCACAGCCACCGCATGGCCCTGACCTGATTTCATTGTTTTGTCATCGTTGCTTCCTTTATCTGTTCTTTATTGTTTTATCTTTTCTTCCTTAGTCCTATTTTACAGTTGGCTGAGACAATGGCATCGGCCGTGGCTGTCAGGGCCCCCTGAAGCGGACCACGAGCACTTGCAATGCACTTGAACTGGGGAAACTATATCAATCAATTGTCTGCGTCCAATTTTATGTCCATACAGCATTTACGGAATTCAACGTTCTGATTGATCCGCTCACCCTGCATCACATGTAGTTCTCAGTGTTCAAGCGTTGCATAGTGTTACCAAGGCAGGTTGGCCGTGACGTGATCATGATGTGAATACGTGGTGATACGTGGTGCCCATGTTCTCTATACAGCCGCTGCATGACCAAATGATCTATCTAAACGGGACCTGTGGCCCCCCACCTTCTGCCTTGGCCTGTGCCAGCCTCACCTCAGAGCTTGACATAGCAAAGGACGTGTGCACAAGCCCAGGATTGACAAACATGAAGATACAAACAAACGAGAGACCTTACAACCCTGAAGTTCTGAAGCTGAAAAGTTCAGAAGACTCTGGACTTAGCGGACTCCTGCCTGCAAGTTCTTTGCTTAGACAAGGGCCGGCAGGGGCAGCTGGTATGCCGTGTCCAGACTCATCTGCATCGAGCCAAAGCAGCTGCGGGAGGATTGAGAACGTTGGACGGCTAAAGCAGCTGCTCGTCATGAAACTCGCTCCTTCGAATCACCAAAAACATGTTTGAAACAGCCGGCAGTTGTATTTTTTCTTTCAAGTGTTTGCTGTCGCTTTAGCCGCTTTAGCCGTCTCACATGGGTTGAAGTGCTCGAGAGGTTGCGTGCAAAGTAAGATGCGCCAGGGGGGGTGTCATCCTGGCCACAAAACATCCACAACAGTTCTTTCTTGGTTGTGGGATGTTGTAGGTTTCAGGTCCTGCGATCTGCCTCTCTCGCTCTCTCTTTCTCGCTCCGTCTCGCTCATCTTGATTCTTCTGTTGCAAGAATTCCGCTTGTTTTGTGCTTCTCTATTCCTTCTCCACTCTTGATCTTCCTTAAAGGGCCATATATATTTATATAAATTGGGAGAAATTGAAGCGCTTAAATATTTCACGGAAGGGTTTGCAACAGTGGCAAGAATATGCAAGAAGTGGTTCTTCAACAACTCTGACCTCCCGTTGTAGTGGCCAAAGCACTGGTTCTCAGCCATCGTAGCGTGAACAGCATGACATGCCAACCAAAACAGAAAACCACCTTGCCCAACTGTTGCGCGGCCAAAAATGGGTGATGAAAGGGTCACTTTCGGACACGTGGAGGACTCGTCCTTGGGCTATACAAAGGCACCGATTGCTCTGAAGTCCGACGGTGTTGAATCAGTTGGCTCGCTTCAGAAGGCCAATGTCATTGGGCCACCACATGGCCGATGGCTCCTGTTAGAATCAAATGGGTGCGGCAAACCAAGGCTCTCGACGTCACCAATGATCATCTGGCTGCTCCCTCGGCAGTCTCTTGGAGCGAAGCAACTGGCACGACTGTTCTGTTCTGAGACGAAAAAAGGGCCAAGCAACTGGCATGTTTCGCTTGGCTCTTACTTTCTGAAAGGTCGCTTATAGCCATGCCTCCGGGAATGGACCTTGAACGCCCGTTCAAGCCTTGGGCCTTTGTTATTTTGTTGTTTGGTGCATTTTTGGTCCCTCGATTTCCCTTGGTTGTTTCGCCGCACTCCGAAGCGCGGGCCGGCAAGAGCTCGGGCGGCAGGACATGTTTTGATGTATTGTTGGACTTTCTGATGGTAGAGAACCTACTAGCGATGGCCTCCAACCTAGTAGCGTTATTGTTTGGACTTTCTGATGGAACCTTTTGCGAATCTGCAGCACTGCTCTCTATTTTCCTCGGCCACTCCGCTCAAACCAGAATCATAGAGCCCAACACGGGAAGCACCTTCCGATAGAAACCCGTGACAAGAGATGACTAGCGAAAAAAAAAAAAAAAAAAAACAATAAATATATATATATATCAAATAAAACATATATATCGTAACCTTCAAGAACAAATTGCCTGAGGAGACATATGAGAATCATGAAGATATGATGACAATTTACCAGTGTTCCAAAATGTGTTCTCGCCTTACCAGACGGCCCTCTGGCTGGTTCAATTCCAGGATTGCGTCCAGCGCACCACCTTGGCCAAACTGTATCCCACTTGCACATCTTAACTCCAACTATAAAAAAGGACTTATGGTAATGCTGAGGCTGTTATGAATATTTGTGGAGCACGGTGATTTCCTCCCATACACGTCAAACAACTCATCAAACATTATCATTCAACCTTGCCTGCTTCCGAACCAATGCCCTGCGACAACCCATTGCGCAATGTAGTCATCTTTGAGAACAGGGGTCCGGGCGTGATGTCCCACATCCAGTTTTCATCGATGTCGCTCGTTGAAGATATCCGTGCCAAAGCAGCCGCAAGCTGCGCAGCGTAAAAGCAAGGTGTATCTTGGATCCATTTCGGCGCATTTGGGACAACTATGTTCAAACGAGCACCTCCGTGTCATCCAAATCCTGACCTGAAAGCTCTAAGAGTGCATGTCTCACAATCCATCCAACACGGGAGCAAAGAAAACAAGGCCCGGGACAATCATTAAAAATATCATTAAACTATATTAACATGACATAGCTTTTGCGGCCCCTGAGCTTTGAGCCGTATCGGAGCTTGATCGCATCCCGCACTCTTTCGAGCTCCTTGGGTATGAGATCCATGACATCCTGAAGCCAGGAGTGGCAAGGACGCTATTAGGTGGAGGCCTTCGCAAATAGGTTGGAGGCCATCGCTACTAGGAACAAGACTAGGAGCAAGGACACTACTAGTAGCTCCTCTCATTACTACTAGTAACAAGAAGCTACTAGTAACAAGGTATCGTATTGTCAAGCCAAAGCACGACACACTGTGATGGAGTCACACCAGTTTGCCGTCGATTATGTACATCAAAGCTTAGCAGCTAAGGCTAAAACTCCTAGACTTCAACTTAATTAGAAGGGAGTTGCGCTGTTCACCCCCATGTGGCTTGCTCTGTGCAAATAAGCCTGGGGGCCTGATCCTTTTCACCCATATCAATCTCTCTAAAACTCAACTCTTCAACTTCCAAAATTCTTTGGTCTAGGTTTCAATTGTTCAAAGGGTTCCAGATTGCATGAGATGGTCCGCGCCTTTCGCTGCAGGGAAGGGTCAGCGCACACAGCAGAGACCTGGGGGAATGAGCATGCGGGTGAGAAATGGGTTGGCTCAGTAATTTACAGCTTTCCATGGCCTCCCAAAGAAGAACAGACAAACGCTGCTGCTGGAAGCATCCCGGATGAGTCTGAGCCACCTTCGCAAAGCAGAACAAACACCACTACAAGTATCACCAAACCGTCAAATGGTCTAATGGAAACGTGCACTCCAGGTTCTAAGGCCATCGCTGCCTCAAGAATGCGATTCACGACACGTTTCTGCGCCTTGGGAGAAATTCTTTTCGCAGGCTCAGGCCACCTACCATCAGATCTCAAACCTTATTGCTGGCCTCGACATCTTTTCGGAGCCGCAGCAATGTCAGAAGCTCGCCGTATTGGCCCTGTAGCTTTGTGGCACAGCTTGGCACACAAGCCGGGAAACAACCGGCTGTGTGAGCACCCAGCCAAGTGGTTTGCAATGAGCCAGTGGCGATGCTGATCAGGCATCTCCAACTCATCAACCTTCCAGCGTCCAAAAGGCTGGATTCAAATCTGGGGAAAGCTGGGGTGCGCTAGGCAGCATGCTGTGGGCTAAGCATGGAAGCATGTGCTTGGCATGCCTTTTGTTCGAAAGTGATGACAGCATCAAGGAGATCATCCACCAAATCCGCTTTCACATCAACAAGCCTTGGGTGGCTGCCGGCTGGTTTGCCCGTGCACCGCCCATTGCATGTCCCACAGTGGAAAACAACGAATGCCCTTGTTCGATTCAGCTCCTGAAGCCACCGAATCCTATGACCACTAATCCTACATGATCCGACTGTATTCGTCACTGGCGTCCTTGCTACTAGTAGCGATGCCCGGGTGGCGATGCCAGGAGCTACTATATAGTCGTAGCTTCTAGTTCCTAAATCTATATACACTATGTACACTATGGGGAGAAAGGACAACTGATTCAGTTGATCGTCATTGCTTTCACGACCGTCATTCCAATATGTTTGCATGAAAGCGTTCTGACTATTTTAAAGAATATATATATATATACTGAGGCCGTAGCTCGGGTTCGTTCCGTTCAGGAAAATACTTCCTCAACTCTTCAATGTCGGCATCGGTTGGCGCGTCCTTGAGATTCTTGAAGCGGTCGGCCAAGCCCAAAAGCCCTCCAAGCAGGACAAATGGCTGATGTTCTGATGATGCTGACAACTTTTTACATATGTTTAATGTTTACTATGTTCCTCGATGACTGAAGACATCTAACTCATCCGAAGACTGGCCAACAGATGGCTCCTGACTCGAACTCCTTGTTGAGTTGCTCGTTGTCCTTAGGTGCTTCCGGATGCTTCCGGTGCTTCTGGAGTCCGGCAGGATCAATCTGGTCGACACAAGCATCAAGGCTAAGATGGCAGCTCGGATCTTATCGTACTGTTTCGCCAAGTCCTCTTCAACCGTATTTGCGCCGTGATGCGACGGAGAGATGATTAGAAGAGGCACAATTTCTCTCCTGTTTGCGCTCTTCCAGCTTGAGATCCAATGTTTGGAGCACTGCTTGGGTTCGGCTTCTCTGTTTGTCGAACCTTCCCGTTTACAAAACAAATCGACCTGCTGCAGCAACACACATGCAACTCATGTTGCAGAGTGTTCTACAGTGCGAGAAGCAACAACGACCGTAAGAGTACGGGGCCTGAATTCAAGATCCGCTGATGCTATTTCCTTGAAAAGCAGTGTCACAGGCACAAATTTGGGCAAAGGATTTGTTGGCTCTCTCTTAGCCTTGCCCGTTTCTATACACTGCACAACCTATGCCATGTCAAGTTCACATCATCGGTCTTTATAACTGACTACAGCGCATCTGGGTGCCTAGCAGCCCGTTTGTCAAAGGAGGCTTCCTTCTCACATCGGGGACACCTGGCGGTGGTGTGGTGGCAAAGTCATACTCAAGTGACTCTCGAACACATAGCTTCACAGAAGCTCCACTCCGAATAACCATAACTCCGAAAAGGAATTTGGCGAGCACCTGCACCAAAACCCAGCAGTGGTAAATTTCTCCTGCCGCATCTCCAAGGGGAACCAAATCTCGTGAAATGCAAACGTCACCTGCGCAGGGATGTGGAAGGGTTGCCAGAAAGAAGTTGTGATCAGGTAAACTCTTGGTTGGTGCAAGCCCACCCTAGAAGGATAAGGGCACGCCTGCTCAACAAAGCCTGAACATCGTGCAGCTGAATGCAGTAATTACCCCCAAATGTTTATGAGCCAGTAGAAAACTGCGCACCGACAGATTTTGTGTGTCTCGGATGTGATGCAAGCCTGCTCTCACAGTCTCTCACATCAACCGAAAAAATTTTACATCATTTACGGATGGCACAAGGGCCTGCCCCCTGTGACTTCAAATCTTTGTGCCGTGTTCAAGCCAATTGACATGTCCTGACTTTTGCACTACCCTTTCAAATCTAGATGAATCTAGACTCTCCTGGCTGTGCGGGCCTCGTCGCCTGCTTTGAGAGGCCTAGCTGCTCGGGCCATCAGGACGTCACCCCAGATCGTGTAGGTAGCTGGCACAAAGGACAACTGCACCCTTCAAAGATTAAGGCCGCAAACCACAAAAAACACATCAATCCATGCTTCATTCTTATCAAACTCATTTCCAACTCAGCCTGAGGGTGTGCAACTATGCCTTGCCAAGGCAGGTAGCCTCAAACAATTGAAGACTGGAAGAATTATGTACATTGACATGACATCCCACTACATGTGCGTAATTACTACAAAGCATTCAATATGAAACGATACTGCACCGGGTGTAGTCCTTGCAGAAGGAAATCATGAATGCTGAAAGCGTGATTTACTGTATAGTACACGTCAAACATTTGCTAATCATGTGAGACTTGCCCTGGTGGGTACGCGAGCAGTGACCGATCCTCCATGTTCTGGCGAAACCTATCCAGGCAATAGGCTGTATCAAGTGAACAGTCACAAGAAACGATGTAACTATAGCTTAATTACTCGACAACTGTTTGCTGGTTGTTGAAACCCCTCCCTCTCTCCCATCCATTCATGTGGTTATTGCTCTAAACGAGCATCTAGTGTTAAAAAACAATCCAGCTTAAAGCAGGAACTTGTCAACAACTACATGTCCGCTTTCCTGAGAACTCTCTCAGCGTAGTGGCCTCAGCCTTTAGTCCAAAACTGCAATGATACCTCGTGTGGCATTATCTACACACCAAGCAACTGCAGATTCAGGTTTTTCCTGAATGCAAGCTCTTGCCTTTCCATTCAACTTGTTCCCAGACCTTGTGATACTACTTAACTACTTCCTGACACCCTGGCTGCAGGATGCAGGCCCTCTGTACAAAAACGAGCAACGTCCAAATTCCACTGAACTTCTTACCAGTGCGGATCTGGGAGCGCAAGACAAGCTTCTCACAGTCCTGTCATGCCACCGTCGTCAAATCTTGCAGCACAGCGCCACACTAACAGTGTAACAGTGTAACAAGAATCAATAACTCAACGTTAAGCTGAGAACCTGTCCTTGAATTGCCGTGCCATATCATCATTGTCTGTGCTCCAGGGTGATTCTCGCACGACCTGCTCAACACACGAACAATCACTTGACGAGAGAGGCCCCACTGCAGCAATTTGAAGAATCAAAGAATGCGTTCTCTACTAGGGGGAGGCCAGCGCTAGGGTGCTAGTAGGTGGAGGTCATTGCTTCTAGGCTCCATGCTTATTTATAGTGGAAAATGTAGAAAAACAAAGGCTCGGACCTTAGGGTCTCGAAGAGCTTCCATCACCTCTTCACTGTCTGAGTCATCCATGTCACTCTCGTCGAGCAAGATGTCCAGTAATTTTGCTTGTCTTGGCGACCTGGCAACTTGTCTTCAACATGGCAACGGAGTATAAGGCAATCGAAAAGGACTCTCCCAAACGCCGTTTCAGAAACACTCACCTTCAGAAGACTCAGGCTGCGGCAATGTTGCTGCTGTCACCAAAGAGAACTTTAGGCGCGCAATGTCCTCGGCCTGACGGTCACAGTCACAACGAAGGGCGTGGACAAATTGGAACCTCAACGCATCGTTAGCAGTTTCAATGGTGGGCTTTTGAAGGCCACTGCCGACGGCCGCTAAACCCTCTCACCCTTCCGTTCCACCACAGCCGCGCCCGGTCCAAGGTGGCGAAGGCCAAGGCATTCTGGACAAATAAGGGGCCCCCAGCCTTGTGCAATGCCATGTGCAAAGCATCACACAATCAGGCACCAACTCCCACACCCACACCCATCCAAACTTTGAAAGCCACACTTTGTGATTACTGCCCAGGTACTCAGGTACTTACAGGATCCTTGGCATGAAATCTTGAATGCAGAGTGTTACTAAATGGTAATCGAAGCAGCTCGCTACTAGGTCATACAGTCATATACAATGGCCATAATTATGTGGCGGAAGAGCGCAAACAACTCCCAACTGGCCTCAACGTCTCTGGTTGCGAGCAGTTTTCTGGGATGAGAGGAGCCTCCTCCAAGCTCTTCTGGCTCCGCATTCGCCACACGAACAGGGCCAATGGAGTCTGCAAAGTTTGGGAGGAAGAAATGTGGCGGCCTGCCATTGGCATCTTGAATATAGACACTCAAAACATGCATCAATCACATCCCTATAATGACTGAGGAGATCACCTAGCTCCTGTGAGGACCGTTGCAGGCCGAGCGCTAAGGTTGCAGGGCTCGTGAGCCTTCAGCTTGGCATCATCACTGTTAGAACGGCATGACGTTGCGAAACTCAAACATGTGTCATTTTCATCCCCCGTACATGTTCCCTTGGGTGTCTTACATTACATTTCATAGACAAATTGTGTCTATAGAATGAGTTGCCTGGGATAAGTTGTCTATAAAATGACAAGCCTTGCATGTATTTATATAAAATGATTACCAGCATGTGAAAACAAATATAAAACATATCACAATCAAAAAACAATCTCTATAAGATGAAGTTCTACCCCTTGACATCTTGATCTTAACAACATACAACAATATGATCCCCCTGCTCGCTCTATAGAATGCCCTTCCTGCATCCTTGCACACAATCCCATCTGAAGTACATACTTGCTCAAGCAGCCCTCTATAAAATGATGTCCTGTGATGTTCAAATATATTCTGTAAATCTGAAACCACATATTCTATATAAAATGGGTGTCCAAAACCCATTTCATAGAGGAAAGTGATTGTCATTTCATAGAGCCTCATGTACGGGGGATTCATTTTCATAACTACTTCCCAAGCAACCTAGCTTTGAATCTGAGGAGATCTGTCAATTTAAGATTCTTGTTTTTTACCTACACCGACTCCTCGTCAACCATTCTTGGAAAAGCGGAGGCAAGTCCATAGTTTGGAAATGTCAGCGTGGACAACTTCAGGAGGGATCTGTTTGCCCAAACAGCTGAAATATATATATATATATATTCATAAGTCTTGTGACACACATGAGCCAAAACCGGCCAGATTGCAGGGGTGAAAACACACATGAATCCTGTTCCTGTTTTCCGGCTTTGCTTGGCTACCTCTCGCTTTTCACGGCTTTTCTGTAGCAGGCGTTTCTTGCAAGCAAAATGATCAGTCGCATTGAACGGATCTTTAGCCCTCGCCCACGAGGCCTCTGCCATAGCATCTTCCGCTTTGCGATGCTCCAGCAACTCATCGCATCGCCACACACATTCTTGCAACTCAACAGATACATCTCGGATCCCTTCTCCTGCCAAACGCACAAAGCCAAACACGGCCAAAAACACTTCACCACAGTACAACGAATGCACACTCTTCAACGCCATGGACCATCCTTCCATTTTGTTGACCTCTTTGTAGAGCTGGGCAAAGCGAACGCGAGCTTCTTTGACTTGCGTTGCTTCCTGGAGTTGTGCAATCTTGTAGCCATAAGCTGACTAGGCGGCCAGGGTCTAGAGTGCTCGTGGATACTATATGATACTATCAAGGCCTTCCAAGATTCACAACTCACTCTGTGCCTGGCTGCCCGCTTGCGCAAAGGCTTCTGCGCAGCGCGGGTTCAAGGACTGAGGCTCAAAGGCAATCCAACGCCGGGCAGCTTCCAGGGCAGAATCCCACAACCTCACGTTGCCAGTGGAGCGGTGGTCCGCGGAAACAACCACCATTTATGAAAGCTCTCATCTTACTAGCGAGGGCCTCCAACCTACTAGCGATGGCCTCCACCGTACCCTGAGATAGATAGAGCTTTACAATACCCAAAATGACACCTGATATTGGGCTGAGACCTGAGCTTGAGCCTCAAACGTCCCAACGTTCGTATTCTCCAAACTTCCGCGTCATGTGGCTTGACAGCCAGCAAATCCGTACCTGGTGCTCAATGAGTTCATGCAGCAGGCAATCGGTCATATGCCAGCAGATTCATGACTGACATGATGCTTGAGAGGTGTTTGCATGCACCATCATGCAGCCAAGAAGCATGATTTTTCTATCAACTGAATCTCCCCGCGGTCGTAGGTCTCCATCATGAGTGTCTTATCTGCACGGTATTTCTTCTCAGGATCATCCTTCATGGTCCGCTCTTTGACTTCGATCACCTTCAAAGTCCTGAATTGAAAGATCAAAGTGGACATGGGAGACTTCTTTAGCGAAAGCGACTTAGCTTGGCTTCAGTCTGGCCACGTTCCAAACCTGAGACGGGCACGATGGATCATAGTCTTCGCCTTGCTCTTCCAGCCATTCTCGGGCAAAACGCTGCAGTTCCCTTGGTGCCACTTTCGAAATGAGGTTCTCTGAAGCATGTAAGACCATGGTCCTGTTAACATCAGTTTTGTCGTGGATTAATGTTCCACAGCCAGGCGGTTGCAGGTGTCTGACGCAGTATGACACAGTTGAATGGGAGCACCCACAAAAGAAAGGGAGACGTGCTGGACCTGTCCTGGCATAACTTCGCAGGTGTGAATGGTAAAGGTAGGCCCCCCCAACCCCAGTGGCCCTCGAATAGGCAAACACTAAAACCGTGCCGCACGCCACATGCGGCCGAACTCATGACCAACTGCTTGCGTGTTGCTCTTCTTCCTCCTCAGACCGGCCGCTTTTGAGGATCACCTCCTTATCAGGCGACACCTCCATGATCTTGCGGACAAGCTGGCAAGGCAGTTCAAGCTTTTCAGTGTTTCACAAGGAAAGGCAAAACTTGGCGAGACCACTTCATCATCTTCTGCATGGCAGGCCACCCGGACCTGCCAAGACTTGAGGGAGTCAGGAGGGCAAGTTGTATTGTGAAAGGGATGGCCTTCCGCACTGACGATGCTTTGTGGGTGCCTGGAACGGAGACATTAAATGTGGTCCAACCGAACGGTACTGTCATCATCTGTCATCAGTGGGCACTATTTTACAGGAAGTTAGTATCGGGTTCTTCAAAAAGACAGCCATCGCAAGAGCTGTTCCACGTCACGGTTCCAACCCTATTTACCCCCAACTTCAATGTTGTCGCATGAAGTGCGGTCTTGAGCTTTCAGGAGAAAAACTGCCATTCATGTCAGCACATGTGAGAAGTCCAATCGGCAACACTGAAATTGGGTGTAGAGGGGGCTCAAGAAATCTTGTGACCCTTCACTAAGTGGCTGTTTTGGTATGTTGGGATCCATGTGAGAAGTATCGGATTCATATGTTTCATTGAGCAGCATATGTACTCTGTACTGTACTTGCATTTTGCCGCTACCCTATGCCATTCTCAATGATGCGCAAGGTATACAATTAATATACACATTCATAGCATAAATGATCATCATAAATGTGTGCGTCTTAAGGAAAGGCCAGCCAAATGATTGAATCCTCAAGCCTCCGAAACGCCTGCTGCGATGTTTTTGTCGCGGCCTTCGACCATGAAGCAAACAAACGATTGCTCAGCTACCCTGAAGACCTTTTCCTCCTTTGAAGCCGTTGAACATCCATGGTACAACAAGATCATTCAAGTGTCAGTGCCCAAGTCATTGCTGACTGTACATGCTACAGACTTGCAGTATCTATCACAAGCCTCGTATGGCAAATGACAGCTGCACTGGCCGAAAGGATCAAACTTTGCTCCTGCCCCAAGTTCTTCACACATTCTCCGGCTGGCATGTTTTACATGTAAAATCCCTGTAAATTCGTGTGTCTTTGGGGAAACCTGGCCGGCTGAACTCTCCAATCCTGGATGAGGGAGGTCGATGGGGTGAAGTCCACTGGGGGCGACCTTTGCAAGGTATATTGCAACCGATTCCGCAAACAACATTCTGTCACGTCTGAGCACTCCTAATAGACCTAAGCATTACAAAAAGCAGCCTGCAACTTCCAGTTGCACATGCCCCGCTTGGTCTCAAAGACATAGGGCTCCATGTCCGCCAAAGGATCCTTTCCTGCACTCCCGACATGCTGCATTGAGCCATGTTCTGCGGGCAAAGTCAGTGGAGCAGAAGTTGTGTTGCACCAAACGTGCACAGTGCCACAGCGTGGCAACAAAACTCACAACATCGTGCTGATTGCTGAGCACTATTTTATCCTAATGTTCTCACTTCACGAGATCAGAACGGAACCTTGTTCGCTAAGCGACTACACTACACCATGCTACACCTAATGCACCATACTGCCTTCATTCTGGGTGTGCCACGGCACTACTCGAAAAGGACCACATCCTTTGAGACGCACTCTTCTAGTCGCCGCTGTGATTCTGACTTCTCCATTTGGCCCTTCCCAGCAGGAAAAGGAACATGAATCCGGAGGATGCAATTCTCTTCTTGTGGATTCAGGGAGCTGTTCGCATCAGCCATGGAAGAAAGCATAGCGTTGCTTCCCTTTTTCTTCTGAGTTGACAACCTGCCACATAGGTTGGGACCCCACTCTGCATCTCCCACGTCACTTGTCCCACTAACTTTCGTGAGCTGCCTCTCAAAGAGCTCCGCAAACCGCTGGCAGGTGTTCCATCGACTCTCATGGCGGCCATTAAAAAAACCAAAGCTCGGGGGCTCAATTGCCCCCGATGCAATTTCACGAAGCTCTTGCTCATTCATCATAACGATTCTTATTCGCAGCATTCCCACATCGTTTTTCCCCACGGGCTTCAGTGGGGTGATGAACCATCTCCCAGAAGCCTCTGTCTGAGCACAGGTGAGTGTGAACACATACCATGCTGACTGGTAGTATGACTCCACACGTCTTGCTTCGTTGAAGAAGACATGGTAGGGGGCGAAAAGGGAGCTGATATGATTCGTGCAGGTCGTGAGCACGTGCCACTTGTCCTCCTGGGACATCTGGGTCACTAGGAAGGGCTCATTCTGCGAGACCGCCGTCTCTGCAGACTCTAGCACATTGGCCAACACAAATTCGTTGCGAAAGACTTCGGCAATGGGCTTCACGAACAGCGTCCGCTTCTCCACGCGGCCCAACGACTTCAGGTGCTCCGTTGTCAGGAGCACTGCCTGCGTTGTTGCTTGAGTCTGAACATTCATTCCAAACGTCTCTCAGCAATGTTCAAAAAATGAACAATTATGCAGAATCATACGAGCATTATGAACATCATAGTCATAGTCTGTGAAACTTAATTGCTTGACTATCTGCATCCTACCCAGCACACTGCACCTGAATGGCAGGTCTGCAACATTCAAATGCGGGCACCACAGTGGGTGAAGCGTGTCTGCCCTTACTCATGGCTATTTGGCTTGGACTGAAAAACCCTCCAGTGCGGTCACAGCATGATACAAATCTGCCTGAACCACGCTGAGGTCCACATGCCTCCGCCATAAAGATTCGGCCTGCTGCCGCCGGAATCGCTGGATCAGGTCCTGCCACCCAACCAGATCATGACTCTTGGAGGGCCCGTTCAGAGTGGCAGTGGCAAGATGAGGTGGAGCAACCCTTGTCCTGGAGGTACCGAATCAGAACAGCTGCAGCTGCCCCAGCGAACATCGCCCACATGGTGTTGGTCTTTAGACTTCTGAACCTCGCACACACCCAAGGAAAATTACAGGCTTACAGGAGAGTCTCCACAAGTTCCATTGTAATGGCAAAATGCGCGTATAATTAGATCATATTCTCATAGCGTACAAGGAATGCTTGATTGGATCCACCATTGGATGTCTCCAGCGCAGTGTCCAAGGCGCAAAGACGCCCAAAAGGACGAGAGCGTACCACGTGGATTTTTCGCCACCGCTGCGGAAGCAGCCATGCCTGGCCTTCACACATTCAATGTCACTCTGTCCATGTGTCCCATCTGTTCCATTATGTTCCATCGGCTTTGACTGAGGTCTGCGCGATAGGAGCCCGTGCGGCAACTGCTTTCTGTTGCAAAAGGCTTGAGAAAACATGGGCCACCAGCGCGCTTCAAGAGGGAGCAAGTGACGTGTCAAGTATAGAAACATCAACACCTATCAATACTTGATTGTGATAGGATGACACATAGACTGTGACTAGGACCTACTCTACCATAAAGGAATACATAGTAGGATGACTTTGTTTTTCTGGTAAAGGGGAGGTGCATCATGGTGCATCCAAGACCTGAGGCCTGGCCAGGCCTTAAAACACAGTATGTCTGCTGCTGTGTTCAAGAGTGTCCAGTTTACAATCTCTTCACTTCCTTTTCCAAGCAATTGGGTCGCGAAAATTCCAGCCAGAGTTTCGGCCTCAAAGGAGCCCAGTAACACCAATACAACTGAGCAAGAACTTGAACAAGAATGGCACATACTGCGCAATAGTACCGGTCATGAGCTTTGCAGCTTTGAGCCACTGGCCAAAAGCAAGCGACGAAAATCATTTCCCTTGCCACGGTTCCAAATCGATGCGCTGAAAGAGCGGCTTTGGCTTTGGTCCAACCTGCTGTGTGACAGTGCATAAACTGAAACAACATTAACTGCAGAGCTCAGCCACTGAGCCGCCAGCCAAACCAGGCATCCTGAGGTGTGAATCGCACCAATAACAAAACAGAATTGGCATCGAGTATTGAATGTGTCAATCCAAGGGGCACATCCCAACTCCATTTAGTGCGTTCCCAGGACAGCTGACCTGTGTGCGACCAAATTGACAAAACACTCTCCGTGCAAGTCAGGCCTTCAGGCTCAAGGCCGAATTCAGCAAAAATGTTTGCGCTAAGTCCAGGTGTAACTGGAGAAAGTAGCACAGCGCATATTCGAACGCCTGTTCAGCAAATGCACGCACCGTCGGATGACAACCAAAAAAGTCATACCAAGGCTTTATTGGATCAAGAACGCATCCAAAAGCTGAAAGAACAGCTTCTTGCAACTGTGCACCTTCAGCCATCACTAGGAGTTCGCGTATTGCCAAGTTCTTGTCCTCAGCACTTGTGGTTTTCTTCAACTTGGCCCACGGCTCCACCTGGCAGGAGCAAGGACGCTACTAGGGGCTCCTGGCATCGCTACTAGGAGCAAGGACGCTACTAGGGGCTCCTGGCTTTACTACTAGGAACAAGAACGCTACTGGGAGCAAAGGGCATCGTTACCAGGAGCAAGGAGAGGTTTGGCAGGACTGGAGGGCGCACACCTCGTTCATCCTCACATTGGCTACAGAGGCAATTTCCAGTGCTGTTGCCACAGCCTGCAGGCGGGGGTGTGCCCGTCTTACAGTAGTCTGCAATTTTTTTGAATTATATTCTTCTGAACGACTTGGGCTTCTACTACTCGCCTCGACAATAACCGTCCCAATCCATCCAACCATGGTTAATCCTAGAACTTGCATGAACTTGCACCATTGCTGCCACGGAAATCCAGCTTGTTCATCAGTACTAGGGCCAAAAAGTGTTCGGTACTGAAACGGGTTCACTTGCTGCAAAGGGCAGCTCTTGTCAAGTGCAACCTTACACAATCAAGCGGGCTATTTCCATTAAACTAAAAGTTATTAAACGGCTACGTCCTTGGTGCTCCTCGACCTGATGGCTTCAAGCTTCGAGTGCTGCTTCCCAGATGAATAAGAATGGCTTCAGTTAATACGGATGGCCCGCCTCCGACGTAATAGCGATGGCATCCAACCTAATTGTGATGGCATCCACCTAATAGCGATGGCCTCAACCTAATAGGGATGGCATCCAACCTATAGTGATGGCATCCACCTAACAATTTAATAGCGATGGCCTCAACATATTGCGATGGCCTCCAACCTAATAAGCACGTTTTGCTGTCATACTTTACTCCACTTTCACACCGCTTCAGTGCATCTTGCGGGCTGACTCCTATCTGGTCGTCCTGCTTATGTTCAGGTATGTTCAGGTCCATGATCCAGCGACTACTGAAATCGCTTGAGCGATCTTAGTCAAAAGTCACCAGCACGAGCACTCCTTCAAACATCTTCAAACAATAAGTTATGAATGCCAAGCACCTATGAACTCTAAGCCTGGCCCAAACACTCAGCAAGGGAACAATTGCCCAAGACTGTTCTGGTATCGTGGCCGTGCGTTCGTGAGCCTTCGGAATGTCCACTTGCTCGTAGCAGGTGGCAACAGTTGCCGGAGCTTTTGTAGCTGCAACTCTGACCTGAGTCGCCAGCATAACTGTTGCAGTCGAAAACTAAATTAGCTCCAACAATAGACTCAGTGATGGGCTGGGTGATCATCAAACTCTGAAGGACTCTCAACCAAATCGGTGGGAGAAGTAGGTTCAGGCAGATTCTTTCGCAACAGCGTCAATATTCGATGCACCAAATTTCCCAGCTCGTTGGCAAGACTGCCTTAAGAGATGATCAAAAGCGGCAGAGTCCGAGGACCATGTTCCAGATCTTCTGCAAACTACTTTGCGGAACCCAATGGAATCCAAGGCACTGTTCACTCTCTTGATGAAAGTCTCATAGCTAAAGTCTCCGTCCAAACCAAATGACAAGCAGCTCCCAAAAAAGAAGCGAACCGCATCTGCACCGAATTCTTTGACCAAAGGGACTGGTTCCACAACATTCCCAAGCGACTTCCCCATCTTCATGCCATCTTTTGTTAAGAAGCCATGGGTGCAAATATGCTTGGGTAGTGGCAGCTTTGCAGACATTAGCATCGCAGGCCAATACATGGTATGAAATCTCATGATGTCCTTGCCAATCACCTGACAGGTGCAATGCACGCAAAGGTGAACAATTTGCCGAACTTGCAACCGTCCATCATTACATGCGACTCTAGAATGATGATTCTACTCCTAGCAGTTGCCATGTCAACATCTATCAACCGTCCAAGTTGCATGGACATCTGCTGGCCAACCACGCTCGAGGACTGTATCCAGAGTTGCTGGATCTTCGGGTCGCAGCAGGGATGACAAGTACCCCAGGAGCGCATCAAACCAAACATAAATAACCTCAGCTCCGATGTGGTGCAAGGAAAAAACATGATGACCGCGTGCTCAAACTGATCATGTTGCTTAGATCATGGGACCTGTGAATCATCTCCAGGGACAGGGATTCCCCAGGATGTGCTGGCACGCGAAATTGAGAAATCGCGCTTGTTGTCCTCCTCCAACCACACGAGCACTTGGCTGCGACGGCTGCTTGGCAAAATGAAGTCCGGGTTCTCTTCCAGGTGTTTCCGGAGATCATCCCAATATTTGGAAAGTCGGAAGAAATAGTTCTCTTCACTGCGGAGGGTGCACTCTTTCTGATGAATCTTGCAAACGTGCCCTTCGAGCATCTCGTCATCGTCCAAGTAAGCCTCACACCCGACGCAGTACCAGCCAGTATAGTCCTTCCTGAATCACTGACATCTCAAATAACGGCGGGCTGTACTCAAGAAAGGTGAAGAAAAACTGAAACTGCAAGAAGCTGCTAGTAGCAAGGTGGAAAAGGTACTGCAGGTTGCGCTAAAAGTCTTGTAAATGTCCCCATTGTCCAGGCATCGCTGCCACATCTCGTGGACAATCTCCTTCGAGGGGTTCGGGAAGGAACATTGATTAATAAACATGTATTGTAATTATAGTATAACATACAGTATCCAGTTTGGTTTGGCCGCCATAGTGATAAATGCCTCTCCCCGCTACGCCTCTGTGATTATATGGCGTTAAACATTATCTCATCCTTTCCTCTGCCTTTTGGCTGGTCAGAGTTATATAATGTGGAAAGGTACGCTGAGAAACGTTCCCAGGGTTTGCGTCAGAGCCTTGGAATCAAGCCTCGGAACATCCAGCGTCATTCGTCATTCAGGTTTTAGACGACAGGCCTTGTGCTTGTCAGGCGTGGTCCGCGCAAAGTGATCTGGCTGCACATCCAGCAGTTCCCAAAGATCCTGCACTTCACAAGGCATCACAAGACAATTCTATTGATGGCGCGTTCGCATCGATTGCATTTTTCCTCTCTGGAGCGTTCTTTTTAGATATGTATATATATATATATAGAGAGAGAGAGAGAGTCGAAACACAAGGGTGACCCAAAATCCGGTCTGTCATAGAGACAGTCAGGAGTAATTGCTGTGATGAACTAAGTGTTCTTCTTGTTGCCATAAAGCAACTGTCGCACTGCCTTTGTGCAAGTTAGGAGTTACAAACTCCCGCCGCACACTTGCCCACTCTTGCAATGATGCCACATTGAGCAAGGACTGATTTTTCCATGTTCTTCATGGACAGAATGACAACATGTCAATCCACTGTGCCGTGAAGGAGAAAACATAAAACATTTTCTTGCGCTTGGCTCAGTGGCAAGTATAAAAGAGTTCGCACTGCCTGTGAGAATTGCAAGCTCAGCTACAGTGCACATATCAACTGGAGGAGCGTGCCCCTGGCCTTGCTCTTCTGCTTTGTCATCAAATTATGCGGCCAATTGCGGCCATCTGAGGGGAGGGTAAAACAGGGAAACGGCAGAGAGAAACAGCTCTCAGGCCATGTCCTGGAATTCTTCTGCAATCCCATCCACCAATTCCTGTGGAGTTTTCTCAGCATCTGCCTTGGAAGCCAGCTTGGTCCCTTCTCACATTGTTTCACCGTGACGTCTCCAAAATAATGCCACAAGGATGCACAAACTCCTAATTATATATATATAGTTATACACATCATCATCATCATCATCAAGCTAAGGTGCAGCCGTTTGAGCTATCTTCTCACCATGCTCGTCCATGCCAGTCACATAATGCACTTCCGCTTGCTGAAGCTTTCCATACCGGGCCATCACGTCTGCCGCAATGGCTGGGTAAGCACTTCCTTATATTCAATAAACGGCGCTTGTTGGACCATGACCAAGAAGCTACTAGGAGCACAGGGCATCGCTACTAGGAGCAAGGACGCTACTAGGAGCTCCTGGTATTACTACTAGTAACAATAAGCTACTAGCCTGTTGAGAAGTCTTTTTTAACTGCTCCAGTTGAGTGTCCCATGTGGGGAGATCCATTGGCATAGAAAAGTGGTGTTGTCACTGTAAGTTTCTGGATGTTGCCTGCAGCGACATCAAGAGAAGCATGAAAGGATTGATATTGTTTGAGTATTTTGAGTGTTGGATTTGCATGCTCATGGGCCACATTGGGCCAATCAGATTGGCACTGCGAGCCTGCATCATCTCTCTGCAAGCGAAGCTGCGGCCGCTTGACAGCAACAGTGCCCTCCTGGCAGAAACAAAACACAATTGAACCTCTCCACGAAACTCAAGGTAGCTACTTGTCTTCTCTAGCTCTAACTCGATGCGTTGGATTGCACACCTCTACTGCCTCTTCGACTGCTGTGGCCACGCCAGTTGCAGTAGCCAAAACTCGAGAATCTATTCTCAAGGCCTGGCAGGGCATACGTGTCACGCTGTGTCGTACTGTTTGTTTCCCACTCTGGAAGGCTGTCTTATCGCTATCCCATCTTGCGTTCAGCGTGCACAGCCCCTAGTGCTTACACAAATGATTGATTGATTGCAACAAACGATCGTGAATTGTTACATTGGCATTGCCCTTGCCCACATCTTGCCAGGCATGATCTGAGGCCAAAGCCCTTGACTTGCTACTCCGCCAGGCAAAGACATGCGCGTAGCCCAAGCAGCTTGCACCAGCAGCCAATGAATATTTTGGAGGCCCGAATGTCTTCGTTTTCCAACTCCTCTGTCTTTTCACAGCCCCGGCGCGCGCCAATCTCCAACCAGTCGCAGGGCCAGGCAAAGTTTGCAATGGCTGCATGCAGGCAAATCGAGAGCAAGATTCGAGGATCCGAAGAACTACGGGATACCAGAGCCGGAGGCGTAAGCGTAGTCATTATGTAATATTACATTTACAAAAATATAATGGGATGCTCATGAAACGATCTAAATCTATAGACGCTTCATGTGACCAAGTTGGGATCAAGCAATGCCAGTAGCTGGCAACAGCTGCACTGATGTCCAAATGTACCTTTCATTTGCGCGCAAGCCGCCCCTCTCCACTTGTGGGCCGTAGTGAAACTCCCCATTGAATCTGACAGCACGCCTTCCCCAGCACAATGTGCCAGCATTGCCGCAAATTTTGCCAAAAGTGGGTTCAGGTCAACAAGAATATATAAAAGGACTGAAGTGAGCATTCAAACGCGGCAACAAACTCGGCACATTGAAAGTCCCAATCAAGTATTCGATATGGAACCTGATTTTCCCCGCCAGGTTTCCCGGCGAAACTGCTAAGAGCAGTTTCAAGGACTCGAGCATTCAATGATGTTCAATGACCAAATCAGCCCAAGTTCTTCGAGTTGGTGACATGACAAAACTGGCTGCCGGCTGGCTGCCTTGAATCGCTCCCATCGTCTTTGCCAATCCAACTGCATCACCGAGCTTTGCCAACTTTGCCCTTAACTTTCTTGTCTTTACTACCTTTGGAAGAACCCTTAGCCTTAGTGGATCCCTTAGCCGTATTTGTCTTCAAGACCTTCATCTGTATCCTCATCTGCTTCATCAATGTAGGTTTCTCAGCCGTCTTTTTCCGGAGTGCCTGAGCACACGTTGCTGCACACTGACAGCGATCATCACGATGCAATCCAAGGGCTCAAACTAGGGTTCAATTGCTGTTCGAGTTGCTGGGTATCTTTTTGTTCCAACATCCCCACGGATAAGCCCACGCTCTTCAAAAAACTCATCGGTGCTCTTCTCATCCTTGTTGTACATCATATCAACCTCCAAAAAACAAAAGCGTATGCTTCTTGCATTTGCTAAATGTTTCTAAATGTTTATGTCGCAAAAAAGAACTCCCGACAATCCATCACCCTTTTTGTGGCCTGCCAGTTCCGAGGAATTGGTTGCAATGTTCGAAAAATGACGGCAGCCAACTTTTCCCCACTCTTCAGCAGTACATCCTGCGGCGAATGCAGAATTTGCACTGTCCACAGCGCACACAATGTTGAAATGGACCGTGAACTGGGCAAACTAAGAGGCCGGCACTGTTGGGGGCAAAGTCAATGGTTGGGAGCTCGCTTGGACCTCTCCAAACCCAACAATGAAGCCAATCAACACAGCTAGCACTGAAACCGCAAACTCAACACTTTCACACCTGGGCAAGCACAGTACTTGAGCAGGGACCCTTTGTAGGGCACAGCATCCACCATGCCCTTGCTGGTTTCTAGAGCCCACTCCATGCGCTTGTAAGGTATCTTTTTCTTTTGGCAGAGCTTGCCCCACCATGCTGCATAATAGCCTTTGGGCAAATCGCGAGTGGCAATGAGGATCTTTCCAAAGCGTGGATGCTTGACAGCACGCAAGGATGGATCACCATTCTTCATACCTGACAATTCACATGCTCGGGGTATGATCTCTATATATATATATATATACACGCATTCATTTATTCCATTCAATATCCGAAACATTCTGACACTGTTGAGCAAATGTGTGCCCAGGTGCACTGTTTGCAATATGGCATCAACTTTGTCACCCTCGAGTTTGGACAAGGACGCCCAGACCGGGATGTTGACATGCACCCACCACTTTTTGGCAAATATTGCCCGGATGCTGAAAGGCGGCCTGCACGGAAGCGTTGCGGAAAAAACATGACAGCCAAAGGCAGATTCCAGAAAGTCAGAAAGCTGCCTTTTTCCGGCATGTGCTTGGGTTTCGCCATTGCCCCCGAGGATGTCAAACAGGTTCTGTCCAAACTCCGTATGAAATGCATGTGTGGTGAAGAGATGCAAAGGAATGATGCTCATGCACGGAAGATCATGTTCATGTCAATTTGATAATGTCAACTGTTTTGCCAATGGGCATCAGCCTCGCGGGAAATAGCATCCATGAAAAAGAATAACGGACCAATTATCCAAACATGGACCCGTGAACAATAAAATAACATTGATTGAGCCCCACCTCCTGCCCGCAACAAAAACACGGCGGCGCATCACACCACATGTATTGGCTTGTTTAACCAAGGTCAACACGCCTCCGAAAACAAGTGCTCGTGTGGAGTGCAGCCGCTGGAAACGCCTGCGTTCTTCAAATGTGGAACAGAGAAGTTCGCACATTTGGGAGTGCAGACCTGCGACGCTTCATCAACTCAATTTTTGTCAGGCCACGGTGGATTTTTGCGATTCGTGAGTCGCCTACGTTCACGATTGGCATCTGACACAACTCGAGCGGGATGTTTTCTACGATAATCACTGTATTTGGCCCCGGCGGCTGGCCTGGAATGGAAAGTGACAAAGCAGCAGCAGCTACAGATTTGGATGGTCACAGTTGCGTTGTTAAGGTTGCCCATGGTGATGCCCTGGCAGTGAGATAGATGCCTTGAATGATGAGATGTGACAGGCAAGGCGAACTGGAGCTATCCTGCGGAAGTGGTTCGTTTCTGTGAAAGACTAGTCACTAGTTGTTGCCGAAATTGATGATGAGAGGGTGGCGCCATGGCCCACAAAACGTGGTGTGTGTTACAGTTATATGTATATACGTGTTTCAGATCAAAGACGCATTGCGAGTCGCTTGGCAAGGTGATCCTTAAAAAACAACTAGCCTGTCTGAAGCTATCTGTGACGCACGCTGCGCAAATCACTGATCAAGTTACTTTTCCTTCCGGCATGCTTCAAGCAAGTAACCACTTTTGTGGCCGGTCCAGGGTGAGACGCCGCTGATGCGTCAGGGGAGCCCTACTGTCTCACTGTTCCGTATGACAAGGACACACAAGCACCGGAAATGTGCGTTAATGCTGAAATCCTTTGTCCCCTGCAAGGGCCCTCCCCCTATACTTGTTGAGAAAAATTCTACTTGCGCCCTTTAACTAACGCACGAACGATGAACTCTAAAAGCTTCTAAAATTTGTGCGCAACATCATGTAAAACCTCCCCAGGCTCATTCATGTCCGTCCAATGCGCGAACCTACTTGATGCATTTCCTGGCGCAATGAGTCGAACCTATCTGGAACTCGTGCATGGGGCCTTGGCGTTTGTTGCTAGCATTTCGAAGTTCATGGTCCTGTTTTGTTTGACACCGAAGTGTCCCCAAACATAGTGAAATTTAGTTATTAATCAATGAATGTACGTTGTTTCCTTCTTTTCCCCTGCCGATAGATGAAAACTATGTACAAACCCCAGCCAGCCGTCGGGCAACTCAAAAGTGAAGGGGGGAAGGAGGCACTGGAGGCGGAAAGGGCGCCAGCGGCCGCAGAAAGCTGGCTGGTTGCCAACGCGCGCCTAAGCAAGGACCAACCCCGTCGGTGCCACCGCGCAGAAGCGCACAAGCCAAGCGGCGCCGCGGGCGCGCAGAGTTGAAATAAAGGGCAGCCGGACAAGGGAAACGCCTGCCCCCGCCAATTCGGGCTAGCGGGCCTCTTAGCCTGCCGTGCCATTGAGATAGCGTGCCCGTCATGGCAAACAGCGCCGGGTTTGGGCTTGCGAGCCTGGTGTCCCCAGCAATGTTGTGAGTGGAAATCAAGAAGAGCGCCAGGCAGGCTCGCCTGCTGCACCGCGGCAAATGCAAGCCAGCGGGCCAACCCAGGCTGGGAAAACACAGGGAAAACGGTCCTTAGCATCCGCCATGTTTTTACCGGCGAGGTCCCATTTTTTTTGAGAGAGGGACGCTGTGAGGGCCCGTGTTTTTCAGTGTTTTCGTGTGTTTTTTACTATATTTGGGCCTGTTACACAAAGGATATGAAGTCTGTAGTGAAACAGCAGGTCTTGCATCACATGTTCCAGTTTCAAAAACAAAAGAATTGATGCTACGGCTGCTAAGAGTAGTGAAGCAGCTAAGGTAAGCTTTGACCAAAAATAGTGTAATTTATCTTTTTAGTATCAATTTCAATGTAATGTGATAACCTATTAGTAGGCCATACAAATAATACTTTGTAACCATTATCAACCATTTTCTGGCAGATATGACTTGTGCTTGCTCCTGCAAGTAGTATCCTAATCATTGTTTGGTTCACTTTCTCAATGTCACTAACAATATCATCAGTATCAGTATCACATTTATCATGTTCAATGTATCTATCTTTAGGTGTTGAATTTTGTACAATTTGATTTTCTACAACTTGCTAAAATTCATTTGGTAATTTAATATCCGCATACGTGTTCACTCTCCAGCCTCCATTCTTTTTGATAAAAGCCACTCACTTGGGCTCTTTTGATCTTCAGCTTTGATGGTGAAAGCATCAATCTTAACACACTATACTGTAATACCAGCATGCTTCAGTTTAAAGTCAGTTGCATACATTTTAACAATGGTGAAAATTGGTGTCAAAATTAAAAATTTGCTTTTATCACTCTGCTCTACAAGACTTGCCAGCCTTCGCCAAAAATCCTAATCTGGAGGAGGGGGTCGGCCCTTTTTTTGGTAGAACCCCCCTCCCAGCCTTTGCCAAATGCTCTTGATTAAAACACTAAATAAAATATATTTGTCTTTTTGCTCGACCCCCCTACCAGCCTTTGCCAAATGCGCTTTATGTATTTTTTTCTTTCCCCCCCAAGAGATCCCTCCTCTCTTCCACCATCAGATTGAGACGTCCTTGTTCCTTGCCTACATTGTGTGGCACATAAGCTTTGGTTATTGTTTCACACAATTTTTATATATTACAAAATAATATATAAGAACAGCAAAAAAAAATATATATATTTATATAAAGAAAGTGATTTTATTGAAAACAATAGCTTTTTAGAAACATTGGAAAACGCAGGCCCCCACAGCGTCCCTTTCTGATTGTTTCACCACCCGTGCGGTAAAAACGGTTAAAAGCGATCTTTTTTTTGTTTTACGGGGGGTCGCAGTTCTTTTTCACTCTTTTTCCATCAGCGCTGTAAAAACGATTAAAAAAAATGAGAAAAAACTTACCGGGGATGTCGACGTTTTTACCACCCACGCGGCTCAAAGGGTAAAAATCGAAACTGTCATTTTACCGTCTTTTCCGGACCACCCGAACGGCAGAAAAGTCAATGTTTTCTTTTGATTTTCTCACAAATGCGGATTTTTCCTGAAACCTTGGAGCCACTGTGGATTTCGGTATGTACACTTCTGTTCACGTGCGTGTCATCCTTGCAGCAGGGTGGCCATGCTAACATCTGTCACCCCGCCTTAAGGGTTCATGAAATCAATGGACCCTTACTCCAAACATTCTAAATTCCATCACATGTGAAACTCTATCCACTCTCAAGCGTTCAACTTTTAGTCTCGTGCATTGAGTGGACTTGTCAAGGTCAAAATTCTTCATCCATCATTCCCCTTCATCGTCATCAACAATGACCTCTTCTTCTTCCTCTTCCATGGGGTGGTTGTGATCAATCCATGCATTCGAGTCTTCGCTCTCTTCAAGCGGCCCATGAATGTCCACATTGCGTGGCCTCTCTTCTCTTGCTTCCTCATTGGCATCACCTGCCACCTCATCTTCACATTCACTGCCTGAGGTGGTTTCGTTGTCGGAAAAGAAGGACAAACTGCTTCCACTCTCAATCCATTTGTTGAAAGTGATCACTGCAGCATGAAAAGCTTTGGGCTTATTCTGGCGCATCACGCCAAGAAGATGCTGGAGATATCGCAAAGTGTTGCGGCCTGACCTGATGTCGTCACGAAAACTGCTGTCACGTGTCATCTCCAGCTCACGAATACGCTCATTCAAATTGCGACATGCCAAAGTCAACGAAACCTCTGGACCGTGGCCATCATTCAATCAACAATCTGGTCCTCAGCTTCTGAAGGTCTTATGAAAAGATGGGAACTCCTTCAAGCCCCCAAACCAACATTGTTCTCATTGAGCCAACAAACCATTGTGAGCCATCAATGACCTCTGCTTCATCTTCCTGCGGATTCAAGAATTCAAGAACTGCCTCAGCTCTTCGGCAACAAAATCTGAAACCATCCGCTGTGCTGTATCCGCATCTAGGCCTCTGGAAGAACTCGAAGGCTGTTGTTGCTGATCTTCTCCTTCATCCTCTTCTTCTGGATTCTCCATCGTATGCACACCTTCATGCACACACTTCCTCCTCTTCAATGGTGTTTCCTACCATTGCCTCTTGTGGCCGATTGGTACAAATGGGAATGAAGTCCTCCTTCAAAGTAACTGCTATCTGAAGCTTCATCTGCACCATGGCGGCTGTCATAGCCTCCGTGACCATCTCCTTCATCATCACCGTAGTCACCGTCGTCATCGTAGTCATCATCATCATCATTGTCTGAATGCGCTGACTCTTCACCTTCACCTTCAGCGAGTAGAAAAGGGTTCTCTTGTCTCCGCAATGCCAGCTCTTTCTTCAGACCTTTCCAAACACATCTGTACTTTGCCAGCTGCGTTCGCATCCCATGCATGTTGAACACCAAAACGGCGATCACGCTCATGAGGACAAAGACTGCCCAACACAAAATGCGTAGGCTCCATGCATTGTGCATCACCACCTGTTGCATTCCTCCACATGTCCTGTCTGACATGTCATCGTCATTGCATCCCTGGAGTAGTCCAGCGGCTAGAAGAACCTGAATGATCCTTTAGACACGGGGTGCAAACTCCGT